TGGCACACGGCTTCCAATTTCTGCGATCTCACTCCTTTCCAGGAAGCAGTTCTTGCAAACTCCACAGAAAAAAAAAGAATGGAGGGGAATGGCAAAACTATGCGGCAAGTCAAAAACATCTGTCAGGAGGTTTAATTGGGTTCATTAGACAACACAGCTAGAGTTTCCAATTACAGGCCTACATAATTAATTGCACTTGAAATTAAATATATTTTCTCATCAGCTTTTAATTAAACGTGACCCCTTGTTGTTGATTGAATCCCAGATTCTCAGGGTGAGTGGGGGTTTCATACGTGTTTATCTGAGGTGCACAGGGAGATGAGCTTGATTTTGGAAGAGGGTTAGGTTGGGGTGGGGTGTCTGTAATTACATGAAGTGATTAAGATACATCAGCTTGGTGGGCTTTACAAGGCTCCTAACAAGGTCAGAGCTTAACTAGCCTTCGAGTTAACTCGGGGAATAACTTCATTAAGCACAGTGCTTAGGCATTTTATGTGGACAATACGATCAAGTTTTGTTTTGGAATCTGGTGAGCTGCTGGCTATTAAGAAGTAATATTTAAAGATAGCATTTTAAAGAGTGAAAAAGAATGCTCTATACCTACATTAAGCAATTGGTGATTCTGCAGAACACAAATGAAATGCATAGAAGGGATGACTCACAGTTGATAAAAGACCAACTGATAAATAACCAAATGAGCATACAATGCATTCCATGCAGAGCATAAATAAAGAAAATAAATTAGAAGATTGGGAAACAATGCACAAACATTTCTCACAATGCACTCAACTGCAGAATAGAGCATAATGAGGCTTCTTTGACAACAGCATGATCTTGCTGCCTGCTGTTTACTGTTTGGAACAAAGACATTTGCACCTGGAACACATCTACGGAAGTGCATAGATGCAAAAATCCACCATGCAGGGGCTTTATTTTCATTGGACCCCAATCTAAGTAGAAAACCCACTAGTTCTGAAAGCTCCTCGACTTCCTAACGATTTAAAATTGCAAGTGACCTTAACAACTATGTACTTGAATCTGAATGAATCATTTTATACAGTTCACTTATTATGTGCATTGATGTTTCTACATTGAACTGGTATTTAAAATATATAAGCCTGTAATTATATCTTTCATCAATTTTTGCAATTACATTTAGAATTACATCGTTGACCCATCCGTTAAACTTGAATCCACTCTTAAAGCTGCCCTTACAGAAATGGTCGTGCCCAGCTGAGCCTGTTTTCTCTCAAGGTTTTTTCTTCACTTTCATCAATTGGTAAAATATGTTCAGTGTCGCCATTGGCTTACTTGATTTGGGACTTGTAAAGCTGTACATTGAGGGATTTGTTCTTTAGTGTTTGGAGTTTCAGAGGTGAAATTTAAACCACACTGAACTGCACTAAACTGAACTTCAACTCTGAAAACTGGACTGACTGTTTCAGTTAACTAGAACTTCTATAATAATCTGCTTTGACACATTATACATTGTAAAGGCGCTATAGAAATAAAGATGAATTAGAGTACCACCAAACCTGTCCCTAAACTTACCTATATGCCCTATCAATAGCACCATTAGTCCTGTGCAATACAGTATAAACACAATATTGTACCTATTGTTGTAATCCAAGTACCAAGTGATTAAGGCCACTTATTACAAAGTGACACCAAATTTTACACATACAGTAGACCACCACAAAGTTCAGTCACTTCTCACCACATAAATAGCTCGCCTCATACAAAACATACAGTACAAGAGTAGTAGCATATATATATATATATATATATATATATATATATATATATATTTTTTTTTTTTTTTTTTTGATTTTTTTTTCAGATGATTGAACAAATGGTTAGAGTTAATTTTGGTTCTACCGCAATGCATATGTATTCCTGTAGCTAATGCTGTGGAAAGCTGTTTATCTTTAAGAATGAAGTCACATCTGTGAGACCTTCATTTAGATGCACCTTGTGCAAATGACTTTGCACTCAAAGTTCCTCCCCTGTATTTTCAAATTCAAAAAATATGATTTCATTCTGTGGGCTCTTTGTAACAATTTACATTTTAAGTAGACACATTATGCAAAACCATTTTAGGCTGTCCGATAAAAAAGAGCTATACAAAAGATAACTGTTATTATTGATTTACCTTTTGAAGGTGTGGACACACTTTATTTTGAACTGCAGGAAAAGCTCTTATCTTTTTGACTATTCCACTTCTTGCGTGAAATTTTATAAAAAGCAAAACAGAATTACTAGCAGACATAATTCTGCATTACCGTAAAGCCCGAGTATGTTTATAGACTGTGCTCTCTACTAATATAGCAGTACATATAATACATAAATGATAGTTAAAGGCATAGTTTACCCTAAAAATGTCATAAAAAGACCCAAAAAAGTAAAAAGTCATAAAAGAAGATATTTTAAAGAAAGCTAGAAATCTTTTACCATACGCTTATTTCACATTTTAAAACACAAAAGCAAGACTGCGGTGGGAAGAAACGTGGAAGCATAGGATTTTCACTATAAACGCTGCAACAACATGCTGTGTACTACACATCTATAGCTGATGCTGCAAATTTAAAATGCAGAAATTGTGTAAACATCACTTAAATATAATTTAGTTCAATTTAATTTAAACAATTAAAAGCATATTAGGCATCAAACAACATCACAATCTCTTTAAGAGTAGTATGCTTAAGTGTCACCCTAGGCTTCAATTCATGGCACTAGGCAAACACAGTGGGGACGCTTCCCTGCTTCAGTCTATGTAAGCTGGTGAGTGATAAAACACTGCAGTCCTCTGGAGCACACCCTTGTGTTGTCTGTAATAGTGTTGCCCTGGTGCTGAAGTTTTAAAAATGTTCATTTTCCGCTAACATTTAAGCACCACTGAGCGTGTTCTTCACAGATTGCAAAAACAGGTAGACGGACATTGGTGTTTTAAAGCCGTGAAGATCAGTCTATTCATCAGCGGATCACTCGTCTGTGTTTGCGCTCGGTACAGTTAAACATCGAAGTGGGGTGAATGGATGACCATGAGTAATTTCTGTTGAGAATGTGAACACAATGGCAAATCAGCAGTGTTTAAGAACGCCATCAACAGTGCTTAAATGTTAACAGGAAATGGACATTCTTTTTACATTTCAGTACTGAAATTTTGTATCGCGACAAGTCTAATATAGTAAAAGAATCAGTTCATTAACTTAAGTGTGATGAATAGCATCTAAAACATGTGTTTGGGGAAGAAAATCTTAGCTAACCAGTGCCATTTCCTTTAACTTAGCTAAAAATGAGGTCCAATATCACTTTTTATTTTCAGTTTCCATTCAGAACGGACCTTCGGGTCACTCTGAATGAAGTGAAAGTATAAATTTGTGTTACTTTTCTCTGCGCTGATAGCATTCCTGTGTGGCTCAGGCGATACTTCTGGGTTTCTTCCCACCGCAGCCTTGATTTCGCTGTTTAAAATGGCGGCCACGTGAAATCAGTCTTTTAACTTATATAGTATTTGTTTTTTTTCCAACAATTGAAGACTGCAGTTGCAGCTTTTCTGCTTTCTTCAATACTTTGTTTTGTGTACAACAAAATAAAGAAACTCAGACCACTCAAGAGTGAGAAATTAGTGTTTTTGGGTGAACTATCCCTTTAAAGATCCTATTTACCCACTGTTAAATACATAAATGTTAACCAAGCAGGACAAATATAATCAACACCAGCATGTGGTGTTCCTATGGCTCAATCGTATCTCACTTTATCTGCCGTCCACTATTGATTTGGTTCAGTGACCAAGCTGAATATAGTTGCGGGACACTGAAATTTCCCAACAATGTGAGAAATCAATAATATCCACTTTAATCTGCTGGAGCTGAGCATTTAAATGACTGAAAGTCAAATCACATACAGCATCTGGGTATGTCTCTCTGCTCTGGCACAACATGGAAACAGATCAAATTCAGCACAAAAGTCTCTTTCAGTCAGACAACACATTGATAATCATTGGCAGCATAGATTCAGAGCAGCGATTAAATAACACAATCTTTTTCGGGTCTTTACAACAATCTAGTAAATATAAAATGAATTGTATCAACTAACCCAGAATAGAAAGCAGCAGAAGGTGGTTTGGGACCACCAGGTGGGTTTGGATTAGTACGTTGGTTCTTAGTTTTTAAACAGCTTTTAATTTCATATGAGCTGGTTAGCTGACAAGTTGAACCACTCAATAAAGACTGGCTAAACCACTATAAAGTGTCATTTACACTAGTGCGTTTTCATCCTAAAATATATAAGCTTTGTTATGGTTATACCTGATGTCAAATTTAGCCTGAACATGCTAAATACCCTTTGAAAATCCTAAATACCCTGTTTAAGGTTGGAAAAGCTGGCCTTTTTTTAAGTATAGAAGGTCTTAAATGCAAAGTTTTGAATATTTAAATATCCACAGTCACTCTCTGATTGCAATTTACAAAACTGATTGTCTTTCCTCATTTAATATTTAACCCCATGTCAGCAACATTGGATATATTCATGGTAAAAATGTTCAATTTCAACATGCATATTGTGTAATTTCAATCAAATGTATACAGTAAAGAAGTAGCAAATTGGTATTAAATTGAAAATTGGTATTAAATTGAAAATAATTAAATAAAGTCTACTCATTTGCATACATGAAGAGTTCAGACACAAAAACATCAAAGTGTTGTTTGACATTTTCAAGTATTTTTCTAAGGCTCCCGTATGTAGGTTCAGTAATTTTACTTTTATGATAATAAACAGTTTATTGTCATTGCTTTTAACCTGAAATAAAGAAACAAAAACAAATGAGGCTTAGAAACTGGCCATTTAGAAAAAAAAAATCAATATGGGTCTTCACTTAATAGATAGATAGATAGATAGATAGATAGATAGACAGACAGACAGACAGACAGACAGACAGACAGACAGACAGACAGACAGACAGACAGACAGACAGACAGACTGGCAAAAACTGAACTTACCAATAAAGTATGCCAACAGGAACACCAGGGTGACAGAGATGAGGATGGCACTGAGGGCAGCACATTTCCAGTTGCAGTGCTTATAGGGTTTCTTCAGGCTAAAGGCAGGCCGTGAGAAGGTGTTTCTTGGCAGGGGCCGGGGCGGAGGAGAGTACACCGTGCTGGACGTCAAAGGGTAACCAGGTGAAGTGGTGCAGTACAAAGGCGAGGTCCCGCCAGGCTTGAAAAGAAAGTGTCTGCAGAGACGCAGAAAACGCTCTTGCTCATGTTCACAAAAGAAGCAGGTGACAGAGTGCACTGTGTGATACAGTGAGTGTTTTTCTCTCATCATGTAAAACAATGTCTTAGGTTTGTGTCCCCGCACTGGTCAGTACTGCTGTTGCTAAGCATTTTTCCAAGCTGTTGCCATTGGAGCTCTGGCTAGCAGCAATACACGCTGTTCCCCCGAGGGGTGCATTTTTTATCGGAATTCTGAATCAATAACAAATTTAATTTACAGAGTGAGTGACCACAGCGGATTCTTGTTAATACAAGCCCTCGCAGTGACTTCTAATTCAGCTAACGGGTGCATGTATCAAAAAGATGTGGAATATTGCAGGATGTACAGTTGAAGTCTGAATTATTAGCCCACCTAAATTATTACCCCCCTGTACATTTTTTCCACAATTTCTGTTTAATAAAAATAATATTTTTTCAACAAGTTTCTAAACATAATAGTCTTAATAACTAATTTTCACTAAATCTTTACCAGTACCTAATATTTCACTAGATATTTTTCAAGATACTAGTATTTACTGTAAAGTGACATTTAAAGGACCATGAAATACCCCCTGTCTCAGCAGGGTGTTTTTACACCTCTAATTTGAAAAAAAGTCAGGAAAGTTCATGAGTCCAGCTTCTTTTAGGTGGGAGTGTAGAGTGGCAAAAGGAGGAAGGTTTTGCATAAAAATAAAAATTTCAGTTCGAGCACACGCTGATTTTCACAGAGGCAAAACAATACACAGACGCAAGGGAGAAAGACAGTGACTAAACCATGTCTTTTTTTATGAGACGAGTGGCAAATCTAGATTTCATCATATCCGAAAACAAAAAGATCCCGGGTAAAAAAAAAAAGTTCCTTATAAAGGTATTTTTGCCACATGTTAGCAAACAACTGTAATCCACACATGAGTTCAACTGTGCTCTCATAGCGGGGAATTGAAAAAACAAAACCTTTGTTGCAGCACATCTATTACCGCAACATTGACGACCTATGTCTTCGAACGATTCATTTTCTTTCCCTTGTTTTAATTATGGTTGGCAATACAACATGGCATCTCCTTGTCATCTGAACATTGTAACAGGTTAAAACCTCTTCGTAGCTATCATGCATATTAATTAGGTTGCAACTTATACACAATGGAGTGCACTGATTGGTTTGAATCAAGTCTATCTTTTGAATTAATGATGAAATTTCAAAGACATCACGTTGATACTGCTGGATTTTACACAAGGATCTAATTGCAATGGCGTAGCTTTAAAATGTCCTTTCAAACCAGAAGAACGAATTTGGTCGAAATAACGCAAAAACAACTAAATTTCACTTTTTTTATTAAATGTTTGTGTCCTAATAGTGTTTTCTAGCAGGGTGGGGTACATATATGTATACAAATAATACAAATAATATAATAATATAAATAATAATAGTGTTTCTTGACCCTTTAAACGCAAAACTAGGTTAATTAAGGTAATTAGGCAAATCATTTTACAACAGTAGTGTGTTCTATAGACAATCGTACATCAAAATAAGATTTTTTCCAAAAGAAAATATATTATAGGAAATACTGTGAAGAATTCTTTGCTCTATTACACATAGTTTGGAAAATATTTGAAAAAGAAGGCTAATAATTTTGACTTCGACTGTACAGTACATTATCAAGAAATCTCATTCACTGTGAAAGAGGCCAGATCTCCAGAAACGAGATGCTTCTGGAGATCTCAAAAAAATAAAATAATAATAAAAAAGCAGTGCCATAATCTGTGGTGAATTCATTGGCTTGGAAAGCTGCTGTCATGCTGCGCTGACCGGATGAGGGGACACTCAGAAACAAACCACACTTCGTCCTAATGATGTACAAGAAAACGGAGCAGACTTGCAAAACTTGTTCGGCTAGTGCACACTACTTGACAGAGCCTTGTTCAGCTTGCTCCCCTTCATGTTTTGTGGCAGAGACGGAGACAGTACAGCCTCTTAGCACGTCTAACCAATGCTTAGATGTTCTCTGATAAATTGTCTCTGACATGAAAGAGGCCACATCTCCCGACTTCTATCCATATTTTCATCTTTTTTTTTCTTCTTGCCTATGTGAAAACCTTTTTTTTTTATTGAATAGCATTGCTATGTGCCAAAAGTTGTAGCAGGGTTGTAAATTGGATTCAGTATTGTAGCCCCAATCTCTGTCTGAGCTATAGCCTCCTTTCCCAATCCTGTCTAATAGCATTCCTAATTATTTTCTCTTTCTCCTTCACAGTGTTGTCCCAAAACAGAAGACAAATGTGCACCTAATGCATCTTTTTTTCATCATCTATATAAATAATAAAATCACCCAAAATTAAAACTTTATTCATGACCAAAACTATTTCAGATAAGAAATCAGCAAATTATTTTGTAAAGTCTGTGGTGTGGTGTATTTGAAGGTAGATCGCTGAGTGGCACTAAACATTACTATTTATTATGCCAACGCCTTCACCTTTACCTTTAAGAGGAGGCTCATGTTTATAATGATATGCTTCAAGTGAAGACTTGTTTAAGGTCATTTAATTGTCTTGTTTTTGCCAAGTTTCTATTAAACAGAGCACATTTAACTTTAGATTTATTATCAAATCATTTCAATATTTCTGATTACAAGGATTAATATTAGAACTTCCAACATTCTGAAACTAATAGAATGGCCATAGCAGTCATTCAGACTGATCTGTTAAAAATACATTTTTCAAATCACATTTACTTACAGTTTCTATTGAGAATTTAGAATTAAGCTTTGAATGTCCACCATATTACTCTAAAAGTGCTATCTTTTTTATAATATAGCTTAAAAATGTGTGCGTAGGTGTGTATCTAAAAAACAAAAAAACATATATTTGTTTCAACAACATTATCATCTGGGTAAAATTAATTTAACAAATTAATTTTTCAAATAATATTTTTCAAAACCTTTTAAAGGTTTTAGTGAGCTTTTAGAATTAAGGTTAGAATGTCCACCATATTACTCTAAAAATGCTCTTTTTTTGGTAATATAGCTTAAAAGCGTATGCGTAGGTGTGTATCTAAAAAAAGTAGATTTTTTTCAACAACAACATTATCATCTGGGTAAAATATGCCAACGCCTCCACCTTTCCGGCTCATGTTTAAAATTATATCCTTTAGGTGAAGACTTGTTTAAGGTCATGTAATCATCTGGTTTTAGGCATGTTTCTATTAAATAGAGCACCTTTAACTTTAGATTGATTATTAAATCATTCAAATATTTCTGATTACAAGAATTAATATTGGAACGACCAACATTCTGAAACTACTAGAAGGGCCATAGCAGTCATTTTGACTTCTGTAACAAGTCAGTTTTTAAATTGTATTTACTTTCAAATTTTCTATTGAGGTTTTAGAATTAAGCTTTGAAAGTCCACCATGTTACTCTAAAAGTTTTATCTTTTTTGTAATATAGCTTAAAAAATATGAAAAGGTGTATACCTCAAAAAAGTTATTTTTTTCAACAACAACAGTATCATCTAGGTCAGAGATGGGCAAACTCGGTCCTGGAGTGCCGGTGACCTGCACAGTTTAGCTCCAACACTAATCAAACACACCTGAACAAGCTGATCAGTGTCTTCAAGATCATTAGAAATCTACAAGCAGGTGTGTTTGATTAGAGTTGGAGCTAAACTGTGCAGGACACTGGCCCTCCAGGACCGAGTTTGCCCACCCCTGATCTAGGTAAAGCATACCAACGCCTCCACCTTTCCTTTTGAGATGAATTAAGCTTTAAATGTCTGCCATATTTTATGAAGTTATTACTCTAAAAATACTCTTTTTTTTGTAATATAGCTTAAAAACGAAGGCGTGTACCTTAAAAAAGTTATATATTTTTTTTCAACAACATCATGATCAGGGTAAACAAATGAATAACATTTGTTATTAATAACATTAGAACAACGTGTGTGTATCTGTGTGTTTGTGTGTGTGTGTGTGTGTGTGTGTGTGTGTGTGTGTGTGTAACATGCTCATACATATGTAATCAGTCTATTGTCATAATCAAAATAATAATGGCAGATTACAGGACTGCCTGTGTGCAGGTGTTTAGTGTTACTCTACATAGTCTCATCGGCATCTACTGGTCTGGCATGAGGAATACACAGCCTGATCTCATGAGAAAACGTGAGTATTTTAGGTTTTGCCAGATTAGTGGCTAATAATTTGTATGAGTTCAGTTGTACGAAATTGTACGATTTTAAAAAGGAGGCGTGGCACCATCATTGGGGGATGGTGTAAAACTTTAAAAATAAAAAACAGAAAAGAATGAAAAGGAAGCTCTCAGTTTTTATTATATTGTGGTTGAGTAAAAAAAAAAATTATGCTCACAGACAGCAATGGTAAAAACATGTCATCCTGTAAAAATTAAAGGTTTCTGACTTGTAGTGTGCACTTTACCATATGCATACTGTAATTCCTTAGCAAAAATGCTAAAGTAATCAGGGTTAATTAGAAAAGTTGTTAGTCTGGTGTTCATAAAAAACAATAAATACATAAACAATATTTAAAAAGGCATGCAATTCCCTACAGTAAGTGATGAAATATGTTAGAGTCTGTTACAAATGGCACTATGTAGTGAGAAACAAGATACCACTATGCAGCATGGCAAAGCAGATTCCAGCAGCCGCAGTCAGATCATGCAACATACCCATCAGTGTAAGCGCCGTCGCGGCGAGTTGTCGCCAGTATGTCCATCTCTATAAAGTTGTCCTGCAAAGTCTCTAGGAATGTCTGCTTTGCTATGTTTCTACACACAGGTGGAGAGATGGACAGGTGGAACGAGAGTGAGACATGCGTGCAAGAAGGAGACACAGATGTGCAAACACAAAAAAAATTAAATAAAATGCCATCACCCGGTGAATCTGTGTAAACGGACAGAGTGGGACAAGGACAAACACACTCTCCCTTGTTTTCATTGACAAGGTGCTGGTGCCGGATCTGGTGCTTGATTTAAAACAATTTTAACAGTGCTGTTCAATGGCAGAAAAAAATAATCTAGCACAACTGTTCTCAAAATATTTATCAACAACATTAGAGAACTGTGAGTGGGGAAATATCTTAATCATGTGATGTTTTTTTTTTATGGCAAGGCTTATGTTAAACATTGGTTCCCATGAAAATTTTAATTATATTATTAAATACTTAAATACTCGCATTTCATTTCAATCTCCTGAGACCATCATTCGCCTTTGGAACATAAATAAATACATTTAAGAATAAATACAGAAGCACTCTGAACTTCCATCGACAGCAATTAACCAAAAATGTCATTGGTTCAATTGTAATTAGACGAAGCTCCAGGTACAATTTTGTGGGCCAAAAAAAAAAAAAAAGAAACTCGTAAGTACAACTTTTACATCAGCTCAGGGTGTACATTTATCATCAATACAAACTATTTGCTGTTAAGAGTCTGAAGTGCAAGACACTGGCATCGTATTTCTGTTTGTGTAGGATGAGGGAGCTCTCAGATTTCATCTAAAATATAATTAAAGTCTCAAGGAATTGGGATGACATGAGGGTGGGTATATAATAACAGACTCATCATTTACATGAATTAACCCTTTAAAACAGATCATAAAAAACTAATTAGCATCGTTTGCAAAGCTGTTTACATTGGAAATGCCACTGTGGTGTGTATTCAATCTAATTAGCAAATTTTGGCTGAGTTCCTGATGTTTTGTATAACAGAAGACAGTAGCTTTAAATGTTTAAACAGTTTCCAGACCTGTTCCTGGGCCTCTGTCCTTTAGAGTTTAGTTCAAAGCCTAAACAAACACACCTGAAGCAGCTAACCTAGGTCTTACTAGAAACTTCCAAGAAAGTGTGTTAGACGTAGTTGGAGCGGTGCTAATCTTTATGGACTTTTCCAAATCTAAATCTAATTTCAATTCTAATTTTGAGAGTCACGATTCAATTCCAAAGTGAACCTATTTATTGTGCTCTGCAAAAACATAATTTTAACTTAACATTTTAACCATAATTGGAGTTGTTTATGATTGGAATCTTAGTATAACAGTGCAGTTATCCTAAAAATAATTAATGATATTAACAAAGATATATTCTGGACAAAAAGCTCTGAATTTAACATTGAAATGCCAGATTAAATAGACCTCTAGGATAGATCTCATTTAATAAAAAAAAATAAAAAAATAAATCAAAGCAAAATGTTTATATAAAAAATTATATTTGGAAATTATACCGTAATCACATTTAAGAGAAAAACATTTCACTTTGTAGTGAAACTTTCAACAGCATCCTGAAGCTGGTCGCACAACGAACAAGAAATGCACCCTGTCACATCCTTAAAATCAATAGTCTCTCCATGTTTGTTTAAATGAAGCTAATTCGGCAGCATACTTACACATACCGTACCTGTCCATAATTTTTTTTTTTCTGTTTCTACCACATGCAGGCTCACATACATCACACTCTAACTTAAATTGAGACTATTGACAGTTGATTCAGAATTGCTAGGAATCGCAATGTATTAATGAATTGATTTTTTTGTACACCCAGTTTGAGCTAAACTCGGCAGGACATTGGCTATCAAGGAACAAGCCTCGCCTTAGTCTGTGATGCTATTTAGCTTAAGTAATGCGGCAAAGTCTGACAGAGTTCCTGATCTTTTGTGTAACAGCGGACGATAGCTTTGAATGTTCAAACAGTTTCCAAATCTGTTCCTAGAGGGCCACTGTCCTTCAGAGTTTAGGTCAAACCCTAAATAAAGACATCTGATGCTGCTAACCAAGGTCTTTTGATAGAAACTTCCAAGAAAATGTGTTAGAGATGGTTAGAGCTAAGGGTGGTAATATTTACAGATTTCGCCAATTCTAATTTTATTTTCAATTTTGGGAGTCACAATTTGATTCCATTCTTAACCTATTCTTTGTGCTGTGCAATATCACAATTTTTACTTTACACAACTCTACAGGACATTGGCAAAGAACAGACCTCACTCTTAAAGACTGTGATGCTCTTTAGACATGGTTTGGAGCTAAGGGTGGTAAGGGAACCTAGGCTGTTCATGGAAATTTTCCCACTCAAATAAGTTGCCAGATGACGCATAGTTGGTGCGAGGGATCGTACTCAGTCAGCTAAGACAGTCAGGTAAGACTTTTCCAATTACAATTTCAATTCTGTCAATCAAAAATTTAATTTTAAGTATTAACCTTTTTCTTGTGCTGTGCAAAAACAAAACAAAAACTTTACAATAAAACTTTACATTCAACGTTACACAACTAAACTGCAGGACATTGGGTTTCAAGAAACAGACCTGGCTCTTAAAATACTGTGATGCTCTTTATCTTAAGTAGTGGGGCCAGTTATGAAAATGAAGATGTCCGTAGACCCACAGGCCAGGCACCAGCATCCTTTCAGTGAAGGTAGGGATACACAGATATCCTTATGGAACTAATGTGCTGTGTAAGATATTTATCCCCGTGAAATCCGGCACGCCCCACACCCGAGAGTGCCTCCGCTCTTTTACCGCACATGTACCTTGTGTTGTACGACCCATGCCCCTCTCTGCAAGCGTCCTGTTCTTCTCTGATAAACATTAGAGTATTCTGGCTCCTTTATGATCGTGGTTAGAAGAAAACAAGCCGTTACTTTTCCACTCACTTCTTTGTGTTTCAGGGGCTGACACAACACTTTTTCAGAAGAATCACACATTATACCGACAGAATTCCCGAGGGGTTATGCTAAACCCTGCTTTAAGATGTGATTTTCTTGCCATTTTTTAAATAATAAATGGTTTCATAAAGCAGAGGTTTATTAGCATTCAGAGGAGAACTCTGCATGCATTCAGTGAAGCGTGTCTGCTGGAGCTCCGTGCCCCCCGAGACGGCTGTTCCATAAGGGAAGACTGAGATAATGCAATGGAGAAATGAACCGTCAACATGCACTAGGCAGGCGCGACACCTTTAATTCAACAAGAGAAAATGTTTGTTTTCTTTTCGCTGCGGCTGTTCCAGACTGCCTGCCTGCTCTGCTTATTGTCTTTGGTCCAGCTTATGTACATTTGTTCGTTTGTTTGGCCATTGGGAGGCAAATTAAAAGTTTTAAACGAAGACAAGAAGAGCCCAGAGACCATGTTGGAGGAGTCAGAAAAGAAGCCTATGAGAAAATCTCACTTCCTGGCTCTCATCCAATGGGAGGGCTCGATAAGCCAACATATCCAGGGACTCATCCGAGCCATTCCAGCCTGCTGTACAAAAGTCGTGAGAGGGAACCATTACAAAGCCATTAGCTAAAGCCTAAATGACAGGCCATCTTTCACTGCCCTTGTGGATATTGCTAATGGTTCCAATTTCATCAGAGGGATTCGGATAATTGATCGCTCTTTTTTTCTTTTTAGATAGGAAGGAGGTGGGGTGTGATGTCACTGTTTTACTCTGTTTCTGCCACTCTCCTCATGCCGCATGCTGGCTGGCGTGGCCATCTGTTTTCCTCTCCCAGAGGAATACCTGGTCCAGATTAAAGTTTGGGGAAATCCATGATGTTTAATCAGTCATTATGTTCCTAACTGTTCCCACCGAAGGATCAAATTAACATTCATTTTCCTGTTGAGTGGACCGTTCACACCAGGGCTGGTCACAAACACATCAAGATGACAAAGAAATTGTGAGGTTCCAAGTTAATTTCCTAATTCTTATGCAGTGCTTTGTAATTGAAATTTAGTCATTTAGTAGACACTTCTGTCCAAGGAGACACTTTTTGTAGAGGCGGTGTCCAGTGATTCAACAAGAAAAGGCAATAATTAATGTTGTAATTAATCTAAATTCAATTTTGATTTCGGCCTCCAATCATTAAATAATCAGGATAGAATGGCTATTGGTTTAGATTGAAGCAGTCCACATTTGTTCCTCTGCAAAACCCAATTGTAAATGGAAATCAGTGAAATAATAATGCAGCAAGGGTTGTGCTTGATTAATTGAAGTGTATTAATTTATATAAGTGTGCAGTATTGGGCAGTAGCCTCGCTACAAGTACTGACGCTAGCGTAACTACATTTCTCATGATGGCGAGAATGACGATTTCTTCTTTTTTCCATTTTAAAGTGGTCGACAACAAATTTTTTGTTGCATTACTGCCACCTCTTACTCTGGTCGGTGATGTCACCAACCAATTAGGCTAACACAAGAAACTTGCTTGATGGAAAGATGACGGTGGAAGAGGAGTTATTTCAGAAGTAGATTAAAGCAAGATTAAAGTATAACAAGATTTCTTGTCGAGGTGAAGAGTTCTCTTGTGAGTTTTAATGTTATGATGGAGCGCAAGGGTGAAATTAGCAATTAAAGATTGGAGGTAGGATTGCATTTAAACTACAAATCAAGTGCTTTGTACACATCTGGCAACCCAGGCTGACCTCGGAGTTGCAAGTGTCACTTGGTTGCTTCGGCCAGTCAGTAGAGTTTTTAATTAAATATAGTGTTTGCATGTCCTTTATGGCGTATAATTAAATAAAATATAAATAAAATACCATTCATTATTATTTTTTTAAAGCACCTAAATTGTTTTACAATTAAGATTTTTTTTTCATTTCAATAAAAATCTATTTTCCATTCATAAAGTAGCAAATATTTTGTTAATATATAGAATGATAAAAAAATCCATTCACATAGGCTTTTATATAATATTTTGCAGTGTTTGCATGCCCTTTACTCTATAATCATCAAAATAAGTTATTGCATGTTGATTTAAAAACAAAGACCAAAATAGTTTTGTAATTTGTGATTTTTTTTTTCAGTAACAAATTCCTAAAAATAGTGTAGACATCTTGTCTTGTTCTTGTGAACCCAATCTCGTGTTTATATATATATATATATATATATATATATATATATATATATATATATATATATATATATACACACATATATACTGTAGTGGTAAATAAATATATATACAGTAGTGGTAAAGTGGTAATTACTGGTACTGGTAATTACTATAAGTTAATGATAGTTAGCAATGATACTACATTATTTAGTGTAATTCATTAATCAAGTGTTTTACTTACACACTATAATGCTTATTCCTAATTTTATTTTCCTTTATTATAAATTACTATAGTATTTTAAATGTGTAACACCTGGTTTTATTGGATTTTTGGTATTAGCTGTTATATACTAATGCGTTTCTGTTTAGTACAGCATATTATTTGCAGTAAATAATTGAACTGAACAATTATCCCTCATGTTTCATTGACAGTTTTATTGATCTCCAATATATGATTGACTTGGATTTAAGTTAAGCTTCAGTTTAAAATTAAAAATTGCAAAAATAGCTTAGATGCAGCTACGCTTTTGCCAAGTAGCTTTTAACTTAGTTGCTACATTTCCCAGAGGGTAGCTTTTAGTGTGCGCTACATTTTAAGTAGACTCACTTAGCTCACTACACTTTTCAAGTAGCTTGCACAACACTGGAAGTGTTCATAAGAATACATACACAGTCATCACTTAGCTTAAGGTGCTGTCTAAATCATCAAATACAGGCAAACATGTCAAAATGTGGTGCTTAGTAAATATTTGGAAATTCTTTACTTGAAGGGGCGTTCATAAGACATGTCATAAATGTGAATCCGATTTATGTATGCTTTTGACAACTGTTATTAAGTGTCATTTGCTCACTTATGTCACTTTTTTATGCAAAGATGACATTGTTATGACAACTTGACATAAATAAATACATTTTAGCCAATTTTCATCTTTGTCATGACAACTTGACATTAGAAAGACAACATTACTTGTCATAAAACCGTAATAAACATGATTGTCTTAATGCATTATAATTGTGCCCTTCTGTTTGTTTGTTTTTTGTGGCACTAAATCCCACGATATATTTGCAAAATAGATACAATTTTTTGCTTTTTTCTTAGAGGTAAAATTATTGGATGCTTTTAGATGTAAATTTAAATATTGTTTACAAAACAAATGACTAAAATGATAGTGGCAGTAGTATTTTATTCTATTTATTTTTTTTTTCAAAATGACATCGCCCGGTTTTGTTCTTTTATTTATCTCAAAATATATTGAAAACATTTAATGTTTAATGAAATTCACCCACCATATATCTCTTTCCTTTAACTGTTCAATCCTGTCAGTAAACCTCTAGAGCCTTATGATGCGAGACCTGGGATATTCTGAAGCTCTTAGCACAAAGCCTGGAAAGCTGAAAACTTTTGCAGCAGCTGAAGTAAATAAAAGCCTTTTGGGTTTTTGACTGGGTTGAGCAGTGCAGGAGGTGGAGGTAACCCGAGTAATCAGTATGTATCATTTCTCTTCAGGCTGTTCTGACAGCGCTGATTTGCCTTCGCCATGCATGAGGAGCAGCCTGAGCAATGCAAACAGACATCTGAGAGGTTCTTGACTGATCTCCTCCACACAAGTGCCTCGGATAGAGGCAAACAGAGCAAGGGCTGATGGGAGATAAATAAAAACCCAAGTTTGAACCAAATCCCCCCTTCGAAAGCTGGGGAGAAATTGTCCATCTATTGCATTCTCTGGGCTTGCAATATTAGATAGAAACACTGCCTGGAAAGCCCATAAAAACAAAGCTTTTCTCTTGTTGCTTAGTCACTGTTTTGAATGCATTTTGGTCACAGTTTATGTCAAACAAATTAGCTGCATGAAACTTCACGAGTGACAGACCATACAATTATTTTCAGTTCAGCCGCTCACTTATTTAAGGTCATTCTTATTATGAGATACAACCGTATGTTCATTCAGCCTGTATTTATGAATAAAGATGGTAAATATGGCACTTAATGTGCATACAAAAATCACCCGGTATACCCTTATACAGTACACTATTTGACGGATTATTCAATTGTAGTGTCTGAAACCATAGTGGACTTTTGGATGAGCAGACATCAATCCCAAAACAGTAACGCATGTACAACAGATGTATACAAAACAGCTAGAGATTACCAATAATGCACGGCGTATGGATTTCCATGTCTGACCAAAAGAGGACATCAGCAACAGAACCCTATTGGTGTAAGATTTTAAATAATCCATCATAAAATTGTTAAATTACATGTGCATACATTACAGAAATCAAAATAATTAATTCATTACAGCTTGCAATTAAGTGTTGAATAACTAACACTCATACAAGGTTGAGTGTATAAGTGCCTAGTGTACAAGTGGATATACAATATGTCGTTCTGGATGCAAAAAGGGTCTAAACATGCACAAGCAAACTGGCATCCCCTTATTTAAGTGGACTATCTTAGTCTTATATTAATGTGGGGAACAGTGAGGGTATATAAGGCTATATGAAGCCATTTCAGACACAACCCTGGTGTTTTTAAGGTTTTTTTTTCTCTCTAGCTGACTGAAATGCTTCAAACTTTCAAACTGATTTTGATTTGATTTTGATTTGAGTGTTTTACCAGTCATTTCATTTCCTTCAGGAAGTGACATCATTTTGGGGGAAAATAACAGTGAAACCTTACTTAGGCTGCATTTACACCAGATCTTGATAGTCAATTTCGATTTTGTGACTGTCTCCGTTTTTTTTTTTTTTTTGATGACCTGCTTACATCATCTTTTAAAAGCGACTCGTATCCGATCGTCTGCATTTACACAGCACGCGGCAAAGGCACAATGACCAGGAAAAAAAAGAGCGGGTGCTTACTAACAGCTGATAATTAACGAGTTCTCTTTTCTCCATTCCTGTATGTAATCTGTTCGCAGCTTTTGACAAGCTGTTTAACTATAGTTTATGACAGAAAGGTTCTCATCTGTCCATCTTCTTTTGATATATAGGCTTTTTTTAAACCGTTAGGCATCTTAATGTAATGTCCATGGTGTAATTTATGCACGTGATGTATGCACTAGTTTTATAGCTTATATTGGTTACGTGGCGGACATTACGCTCTCTCGCTCATGCTTAATTAACATGCTCAAATACCTGTGCTATATGACAATATAAAAGCTGTTTAAGTCCTCGTGTGTGAGATTTAAGGTTTGGGACTCTGCTGAAGTCTGCTCTGAAATGAAAGTGTCAGACTTAAAGTTATTCACTATGGTTTTTAATAACGCGTGACTCGCATTGACAGGTGAAAATCTGATCTACCAGCTCACACTGCAGACACGAGAACACACATCCGATTCATATTGGATACATTTCCACATATGAACAAGGCCTGAATCTGATTTGAGTAAATCGGAATCCATGTGATTTGTTTCCTGCTTAAACGTACATGGGCCATATCCGATCTGTCACATTGGAGAGAAAACAATCGGTATTGAGTCACTTATACAGTGCAGTGTAAATGTGGCCTTAGTATTATCTATTTATTAACTTTAGTTAGTATTAAATATTTATTCAGAAAATTCTGTGATGTTTAGCAGTATAAGCTAGTTTATCTTACTTTGCAGTGCCACATTAGCCTATATTATTTATAAATACGTGAATATTGTTATCCAACTATTAAGACTTAAAAAATGCTCTTTTACAAGAATGCTTTATAGTTTTAAAACACAAGCATGTTTTGTTTTAAGACTGGACATCAAAAGTGTACTTCATAACAAGAATGACCCATTAAACTGCTCTTTATAGTTCTAGCCAGAAAAAAAAAAGATTCATCAATTTTAACAGTGTAGTGAATCCCTTAAGCAGAAAAACACAGCACAATACGCTTCATGCAGCCAGCATACTGTATGCATGCCTTACGGTGCATTATAAACACCTTATGTAAACTCAATCAATTCAGTCTGACAGCACAAATATATTTCATTAGACATTTTACTAAGAGAACAACACAGCAAGATGTGTACCTGGTCTCTAGAGGAACGTTGCTGTTGAGAAGCCAGTTGTCCTGGGCGCTGCTGGAGTCCTGGGCACTTGTCGGACCCTCATTGGGAGCTGAACTATCGGTGGGTGCCGGGCTCGGGTTACTGCGCTGGGTGTAGTTGCTGCGGCTCAGGGAACCGATGGAGGCGGTGTGGTGCTGACTGGGGGAGTGCGAGTGAGACAGGGGTAATGGTGGCGTTCGCAACCGTGAGTGATTCTGGAACGAGCCCTCTGAAATGAGAGAAAAACACAATTGGCAAACAGATTAAATTACTGTGTTGCTCATTAGCATTTGGTGAACTGACATCTATTGATTACATAGGTCTGATATTACACAATTAAATATCATCAACTGATTATGTAGCATTACCCAAACTGTCATTTAGGGGTTTACAAGAACATTCTGGTCATGGTGGAACAAAGCACAACATTAATATTCACATAGATGGTTTGACATGCATTTATTGTTAAAATATACAACCTAGGATGCAATCAAGTGATGGTTATTTCATGTGTATATGATTTAAAGTTATTTTTCAGCAATGCTTAAATGAAAAAAAAAACATAGGAAATAAAGAATATTTGAGATCATTTTAATGGTCAATACTACAAATAATGTTGGTTTATAGTCCTCTTTTGTAAGTCTTTGCTATAATGAAGTGTCCACTACATTTAGGAATGTATCTTTAGCATTTTTAGCATAGTAGCTCTTCTATAAATAAATGGAGGTAAAGTTGTTCATAACTGTAAATAAAATATCTTTAGCACGTTAGCTATATATTTAATGTATTCAAGTGATGCTGTTCGTGAATGCAAAGCATCTTTAACACCTTAGCTTACAAATTGCTCTATGTGAATGTAAATCAAAAATAATTAATTTAGCATATTAGCTAAATTTTAGTCTGTTCATGAGTTTAAATAAACATGTTTAGGGCATTAGCTAAGACACAAAGTGTTTGATAATGTAAAATAATTATATTTAGGGTTTAGTACTTATATTAAATGACGTTAAAGTTGTGTATAAATGTAAATAAACCATATTTAGCCCATAAAGTTGTTCATAACTGTAAATAAAACATCTTTAGCACATTAGCTATATATTTAAAGAATGAAAGTGATGCTGTTCGTGAATGCAAAGCATCTTAAACACCTTAGCTTACAAATTAAGGTCTATGTAAATGTAAATAAAAACATATTTAGCATATTAGCTAAAGTTTTAATCTGTTCATGAATGTAAATATACATGTTTAGGGCATAAGCTACCACAGAAAGTGTTTGATAATGCAAAATAATCATATTTAGGTAGTCATACTTTTATTAAATTACTTAAATGTTAGCCATGTTTTGATAAGGGATGTTAAAACAATGTGCTAGTTTTACACACAAAAAAAAAAAAACTTAACATGACACTGGCAGTTAAAGTCAATAAACAACAGTCTGGTATTAGCATGTTAATGGGAGAGGTTTACTTGCGTAAAAGCAATAAATCAGCATGTCACAGATTAGCCAAAGAAGCTGTCTTTAAAGTGAAACGCAACTTGCATTTTACTATCCTGCATCATACCCAAATAAAGCTTCAGCTTTTTCTGACAGCTGGAATCTCACAAACACTCATCAGTCAAAATGCGCTGTTGACAATCTATCATTATCAAGTAGACTGAATTACCCTCATCAACCTGTTTGAAATTCACGCCGTGATCAACTGCAGTTTGTGCGGATGGGCCAGACAAGACAGTTTCAACTTCCCAACAACACAATTGTCTTCTAAAGCCACTTTGCGTCATGGCAGATGAGGGCTATCAGACACGAGATCGTGAGCGTCAGATTGTGGAAACCCAGACACACATAAAGACCCTTGTGTCCTTGTGCGCCACACAGCCATTCATTTCCATATCTGCAAAACCATTCATCAATCAATAAACTTGCGCCTCATTGCGCTAAGAACCCTTACTTAACAAGAACAAAGCAGTTCATTTTACACCTGTCGACAACACTCAGCGGCCTCTTTACTGAGAGATTAGACTGTCGCTGAAGGTAAGAGTAGAGTTTGGAGTGCTTATGTTTATTTAAAACAACTTTACCTTCATTTATCACTATAGCGGATTCACTATAGCTGCTTTATTTACTTTACTTATTTAAGATGGGTTATCTGTATTTATAAACAAATTAGTCTATTTAAAGTGTAGTTAATTTGCTACAGATCTTTCCAAATATTTGACCTGACTAGCCTAAAGATACTTGCTAGCCTATTTCACTTTCTATCTTTGTCCGCTAAAAGGATAGCTAATGTGCTAATACCAGTTACATGCAACTATGAATCGCCTTCATTCTGTAAAGGTATGGCTTAAGTCTAACACTTTCTTTACACTTAAGTATAAAAACTAATTTTCACACTTAAGATGTTTTCAATTTATTGACAGTTTTTACTTTCATTTATAGAATTGCTAATGTGTTGTTGGGCTTATTTACATTTTTAAACACTTCATTTGATCAAACGTATAAGTAATATGCTAAAGACATCTATAAACAATTAAATTTGTTAGACAATGTGTTAAATGTCTTTCTTTCATCTGCAAACAACTAATCATTTGTCAATTGTACATTTAAACATAAATTATGTTATTTTAATGGCTACTTTTATCACTAATTTCATTTATCAACAACCTTTTCTGTATTTGCAAAAGCTAATATGTTAAAGATGTACATTATTACAAATACACCATATGCGAATAGTTTGATATTTATTAGTTTATTAGTACCCGTAGGTCAGGGGTGTCTAAACTCGGTCTTGGAGGGCCAGTGTCCTGCACAGTTAAGATCCAACTTTTTCCAATTTAACCCACCTGCCTGGAAGTTTCTAGTACACCTAGAAAGAGCTTGATTAGCTGGTTCAGGTGTCAGGACACCGGCCCTCCAGGACCAAGTTTGGACACTCCTGCTGTAGGTAGATTCTTTTTGCAGCAAAGTTTGGCATTTGATACAAATAATTAAATCACACATATATATACCCACATACAGTATACACAAATAAACTTAAAAAAGATTACAATTTATTCAGAGCAACAATAGATGAAGGGACAGCTATTACTGAACTGTTTTGACCAACTAAAAAGCATCTGAAACCAGGATAAACTCCTCAGACAGAGGATGAGAGCTACATCTACTAATGTTCCAGGCAATCCGTAAAAGCTGCCTACTATACAGGGATTCAATACTCAGCTGTGCTTCACCAATCAACCTGCAAGACCACCTAATAACCTGGCTCGGTCTATTCCTATTTTTGAGAGACAGACCTTCAAACCATGCCATCAAAGCGAAGAATAGAATAGACTTAATAAATGCACAAAAGGAAAGAGTAAGCATTTTGGGGCCAATGTGAAAATGTGATTTCCTGAGACAATATAGGCACTGATGCCCCTTCTTGCACACAGCATCACAGTTTGCCTCAAAGTTAAATACAAATAAAATAGTTTTGTAGTTTTATACATTTATGAACAAGTTAAATGCAAATATCAACTTTTGCACATTAGGTTTATAAAAATCACCAATTATCCCAATTGTACCAATCACAAAATCAGATTTTTGTAAGATAGGAAATACTTATTGCAAAAACCAAGACAAACAGACATAGATTTTTACATATTAATCAAAACATTTCTCACAAGTCTGACATGTGACAAAAATGGCACAAAAGCAGGACATTGACAGCTGATAAAAACAGACATTGGCTGTTTTTCAAAATGCATTCTACAGCAATCTTGCATCCTTGTGTTCTTGTGTTATGTCATCCTCAACTGCCAAAGTTTGGTTCCAATACTCAAGACCGCAAGAATGTAGGAACGCATGTAAAATCCCACATGTGTTCTTGATATCGAGGATGCATGGATGCAGACTTTGAGCACCAAAATTGCTCGAGAAGTCCCAGATGTCATTGCGACCGGAGGTGGGAAGCGCACCTATAGATTTATATAGGTTTAATAATAAAGTTCAGAGGTATAACATATTTATCTCAGGAGTTTCTCTAAATGAGAACGTGAACATGAACATTACCATGAAAATTTTAATGAAGGAATAAACACGTGTAAAGTAATACATGTAAAGTCTTTATGCAAAACATATATTTTGAAAATGGGAAAAACAATAAATTATTGTATGAATGGTGTGATGTTTAAATAATTTTCCATTAAAAGCGCGTGAAGATCATGTGACCATCAGGAAGAATGCAGCATCTAATTTCTCACAGGATGCGTTCTCTGTTCTCACAGTCTCCCGAGTTCGTTCTTCCAAGGTGACCTGGCAAGACCGGTCTTCACAAGAACGCAAGTCCCATTGTTACCTAAAACTAGGGGTGTCAAACTTGGTTCCTGGAGGGCCACAGCCCTGCAGAGTTTAGTTCCAACCCTGCTCCAACACACCTACCTGTTGGCTTCAAACAAGCCTGAAGGGCTTAATTAGTTTGATCAGGTGTGTTTAATTAGGGTTGGAACTAAACTATGCAGAACTGTGGCTCTCCAGGAACTGAGTTTGACACCTGGGCCTAAAACCTTTGTGTTTTCTCTACTTTTGTCAAAAATCTTTTGAAGCCGGTTGCCTTAAACCTTTGTAATTTCTCAACTTTTGATTGTTTGCAGTTACTTAAACTATCAGGTTTTGTAAACTTAAACCTTTTGCAAACTTAAATTTAAATGTTTAAATTCAAAGCTTTAAAAACGTTAGTGTTTGGACGGTTGAGGGGGTTTTGCAAACGAAGGACGAAAGTGAAGGGGGTTGGGGAGTCACGGAAAAAAGTAAAAGTGAACAGCGGATGGGAGGAGGGCATTTGAATAGGGGGGTCTGTAAAATCAGGTGCCGGATAAGATTTTAGAAGTGCCGGATCCAGAGTGTTCCGGCACTTATTAAGCCCTGCCTTAGAGTAGAGTAAACTCAAAAATTTCCTAAAGCGGGTTGGCTTAAAATTTGAAATTTTTTTTACTTCAGATTTTTTACATATATAAATACATCTAGCTGTGCCAGTCAATAATCAGATTTTGTTATAAAACATAATAAGTATTTATTTTCAACAATGGATACACATGAGAGTGCATTCATTGATTATTTTTCCTTCGGCTTAGTCCCTTATTCATCAGGGGTCGTCACAGCTAAATGAACCGCTAACTTATCCAGCATATGTTTTACACAGCGGATGCCCTTCCCGCAGCAACCCAGCATTTGGACTGTGGCGGAAACCCACA